TTTGGGTTGGAAAAGTGGGGGTCGTCTTGTACTTGGGGGCGTCTTATTGATGGAAAAATACGGTAATAATGGAATTCTCAACATGACTGTAGTTTTTAAAAAAGTGTTTAGCTTTCAAAATGACAAGATGGATTTCCCAAAGTAATCTACTTAAATAATTTTCAGTGTTGATTTATGTAAGTTATAGAAATATCCTAAAGATTTAAAAAATATTAAATATGAAAATAACTTTTCTCTCTTTTGCAGTGCAGGGATTGGACGAACTGGAGTTCTTATTACTATGGAAACAGCAATGTGTCTTATTGAGTGTAATCAACCTGTTTATCCCTTGGATATTGTAAGAACAATGAGAGATCAAAGGGCAATGATGATCCAAACACCTGTAAGTTGGTAAACAGAATAAACTGTTACCAATAACAAACTAGGAACTGTAATTTCTTGTTTAAAGAGGATGATATATTGCAGTATATGTCAGTTCAGGATCTAGTATATACATTAAATGCAAATTTTATGTGGTGGTGTAATTGTATAGTACATATAAACTTGTACCCAGTTCAGATATAAGATTAGCTCTTAGTGAGTCAATTTTTGCAAAAGTTGCTAATGTAAAAACTGTAAAACAAATGGTATCTTTCAGAAAGTTCTATAGTCACTGAATTGTAGAGTCTGTGGAACACTTCTAGAACAATTAGGTTAGGTTAAAACAAAACGTAGCCATTCTTTGAGTATATCCATTGAATTCAGGAAGACCCTAATGTGTCATAATTGACTTGCTTCCATTGGTCTTACTTCAGTTGGATGAACTTTGCTCACAAGAGTTGAAATCACCTTGACAGTTAAAAATTTGAATGAATTGGGATGTAATCCATAATAATAATAAAGCTGAAGAAACAGTGGACCACCTAGTTAGCTGCTGCAAGAAGATTGCCCAGACTGACTACACACAACGGCATGACAAAATAGCAACAATGGTGCATTGGAATTTCTGCAAAAAATACCATTTGCCTACAAGCAAGAACTGGTGGGACCACAAAACAGACAAAGTAATAGAAA